ATATCCACCCACTTGCACACAGCCAAAAGGCAAAGAGGCAAAGAAAAGAGGAAGGGAACAGCCAAATACAACAAAACAGGGGGAAGCAAACATAAACCAATCCTAGATGACAAGTCCCTCATGCAAGCACCGCCCCCACCACCAGGGCCAAACAACGGGACAAGACCAACCAGGATTCAAGAACACCCTTGCCTGCAAACAAACAATCCCAGATAACATACCTTTCGTGCGCGCCAGCTCCAAGAAATTTGCGATTGATTTTAGTATTGTTGTTGCAAAAATTGGTACCGATTCAAACTGTCAAGCCACCGCTTCGCTGGTCTAAACTAAATTACTGGGACAGCACCAACAGCAAAAAAACATAAAGGAGAACCCTAGATGATTTGCGCTCTGATATTGTTTGTTTTTATCGCTTTTGCGCTCTGATATCTATGTGACGATATATTGTCACACTGTGAATCAGAGCGCGAAGGCGAAAAAAAGCAAAACAAGGAAAGGAAAAGAAGGAAAGCCCCACCTGTTCATCACCTCTTACGTACAAGGCCAGCCACGTGGATGACAGGTTGAGCGCTGGCTGCCCCCATCCCCGTGTGTTACAAGGACCCACTTGCACGCACTGCCAGCCAAATGGCAAAGAAAGAGGTAAAGAAAAGGAGGAGGAAACCAAACCTGACAGTGAAAGAAATCGTATCAGTCAAACATAGCAAATGACACATCCCATAGATCAACATATATTTTTTTCTTTTCTTATTTTCTTATTTTCTTATTTTCTCTTATTTTCTTTTTTCTTATTTTCTTTTTTTCTTTTTTTCTCTTTAACTGTCCCCACCTTGGCAGATAGGACAGCTACGGTGAGGATGATGTGGATGTTCACAAGGATACCCAAGGAGAGCTGCGCCAGCACAGCATTCAGAGGACATCATGATGTTGTCTACATGTCCAAAAAACAGCAGGACGTTCATCACAGTGCGGCATCATGCAGTTCTGATAGCGTCCTTGGGCACAAAAGGGACAACGTATATCTGGGTGACAGGGATGTGTACAGTGAGGAAATGTTGGACGCCCTTCAGTACAACGGCGGCAGTCGCAATAGATTGGTAATTGCTATGGCATAGATCATGCATTCCACAGCCAAGTTGCACCGCGTCTCTGTCCCGACAGGTGTCACACGAGAGTCGGTCAATAATCCAGAATAAAGTATGATTCGACAATTCACCCAAAAATTCATTTACGTCAAAAATAGCCTGACTCATTTGTTCTTAAAAAAAAAATAAAAAAAATTATTTGTCCTGTTGCATGATCTCACTTCACCATTGTTGTCAGCCTGGATTAGATTGACGTGATGCGTCTGCCCCTTGTCTGTTTCACCAGTGTCATAACCTGTGTTGTCTTTAACCGTAGAAGGGATCTGTTTTTCCCACATTTTTTTGGGTAGAACAGTTCACGCTTTTTGGGTAGAACATTCCCGCGTTGTGCACTATGTTCCATTGGTCTGTGGAAGTAATCATTGCACTCGGGGTCTGTTTTCCCCCTCCTTTCTCTTCTTCTCTCTCTCATTTTATGTCCTCTTTTTTCTGTATTTCTCTCTTCCTCTCTCTTTCCCCGAAAGGTTACCTGAGAAGCCCTGCGGCTATCGGCTCTCTCTCTCTCTGTGTCTGTCTTTGTTTCTCTCTCTTTCTGCTTTTCCCTTTCTCTTCCTCTCTCTCTCGTTCTCTTTCTCTCGGTTCCTCTCTCTCTTTCTCGCCGTTTCTCTTTCTCGCGGTTTCTCTTTCATTCTTTCTCTTTCCCCGAAAGGTTAACTGAGAAGCCCTGCGGCTAACAGCTCTCTCTCTCTCTCTCTCTCTCTCTCTCTCTCTCTCTCTCTCTCTCTCTCTCTCTCTCTCTCTCTCTCTCTCTCTCTCTTTCCGTTTTCCCCTTCTTTTCCCCCCGCGCTCTCTGTCTTTCTCTCTTCCCTCCTTGGCGCTCTCGTTATCTTTTTCTTTTTTTTTGTCTGCATTCGTTGGATGGGTGAACGGATTGTGTCAGCGTAAAAAATGCGAGAATGCGTTGGAAAGTTAAATAAAACCGGCGTCAATTTATTTATTTATTTATTATTTTTATTTTTTTTTGCAATTGTAATGGAGGCAGGGTGCAAATGTGACAAGGAAAAGGGACAGAGTAATTTTTAGAGAACGTGGTTTTTTTTTTTTTTTGGTTGTTGTCTCGAAAGCGAATGCGGTTTTTGCCACATTTTTTATTTGTGTTCGTAAGTAAAAGATATCGAAACAATTTATTGTTTATTTTTAAGTATTCGAGTACTCTGTGGGCTGTCGCATCTTATTGTTCAATAGTGGGAAGAAAACGTGTTTTAGAAGCTGTCAGAAATTATTATTTTATTGTAAAATTGTTGTTCTTGTCGCTTGTGTTCTTTTACGGGTTTCTGCAAAAGAAATGATTCTCTTCTTTGATTTCAGGTTTTTATTTTGGGATTATCACTATTTCTGGTATTTAGTATTTTAATTATTATCTCGTTTTTCTTAACGATATTTGGATTATGTTTGTTAATATTATCTCCGTTTTTACAATTTCTTTAAAAAAGTATATTAAAGTAATTGCAAACCACCGAGAAAGCGAAAATAGGCAAGAGTACCAAAAAAATAAAAAATAAAAAAGGCAAGAGTAGTTGAGCGAGGCCCAAATTGTGAAAAGAGGACTCGGGGACGTGTGCGAGCCCACTGTCCGGAGTGCGGCATGGTCTGACCATTGCGGAAGAGAATCCGACCATTATTTTTGTCTGTCTGTAATTGCTCTCTACCAAGGGGTCTCGCTCCTCGTATCACAACAAGCAGAAAAGACAAAATTAATGGCGTTGTATGTGTATCTTCCCGTGTCCTAGCGGAAGATGCATTGTCATTTTGCACGTGCGGTGAGTAGTGGATCGAGGCCCATTGCGACACGAGGTTTGGCATCTGATATGCCAGTGCAACTTGGAATTTTCTGAACCCAATTCGAGGAAAGCAATTGTCTTAGGCCGAGTCTATCTACGTCTGTGTGTGTGTGTGTGTGTGTGTGTGTGTGTGTGTGTGTGTGTGAGAGAGAGAGAGAGAGAGAGAGAGAGAGAGAGAGAGAGAGAGAGAGACACTTGCAAATGTAGACAAAACGTGCGAGGTTTTACTTTCGCAGCATACACGTAATGTCCATGGCATGCGACTGATTACCCTTCTACCTAGAGAGAGAGAGAGAGAGAGAGAGAGAGAGAGAGAGAGGGCCTCGCTCCGCCACTCCACATTCTAGATGCATTTGGACGCGTTTTTTTTTTTTTTTGGGGGGGGGGGGGGGGGGCCAGGGGGGAAGCTTGCCAATTTATAACAAATTCACTGGGACGAGGCCCGGGACCTCACAATTCAACCGGGGGTTATTCTGGCAGCCTCAGCCAGTTTAGCTTTCGAGTAAAACTCCTCGCTACTCGTCAACTGTGCAAACCTTATCCTAAGAACTAACTAGAGAACCGGGTCCAGCTTCCCATCCTAGAAAACTCACCAAATTTCAAAATTGAGCTTTGGTAAAAAGTAAAAACGAACTCTAAGAGCCTGAGCTGAAAGAGCATGGTAGAAGTGCAGAAACTGGTCAAGACAACGCTTAAGCTTTTCCAGATGTAGTGG